AACATTACGCCTTTTGATCCCCGAAGGGGTAGGCAGAGGTGCACATTATGCCACTCTACAATGTACCACCCACTTTTCACGATTTATGTTATGAGTCCCTTGTAATAGGGGGTGAGCCGTGAGCCTATTGCCATATACTCAATTCCAGACTCCGTGCTACTACTAAGATTTTTTAAAAACTCAGTAATACTTTGCCCGACCCGGGAATCAAACCCGAGATCCCTTGCCGTCGCACTTGCGACCACTCGGCCAACGAGGCAGATATTTCTTGAGACTTTTAAACAAATATCTTTTATTTATTTACTAAAAGAAATAAGCATTACAATATATATCTACAAATATCTACTTTGTTTGAAACGAGAAAATGAATTCGATACTCCACTCTTCTCACTTGATAGTTACTCTTGCGGTCACTCGACCACCAATGGTCATTATCAAAACCATTCAAACTCATAATAACTTACTAATTACAGAAACATTCTCTCACTCAATGAAGTAATCAGATTCCCATCTTACAATAGGCGTGAAGCGTATCGTTTTTAAGTAATTACATAATGGACACTTTGTTTAACTAACGTGGTGTATGGTTGGGCAGTAGACCGAGACGTTTCGTTCTCGACACCGACTGCGGAACGTTGGCGCTAGGGCTGATGACGTCATCACTAGAATGTATTTTGTCTCGACTACCTTGTTTGTCTAGTGTGTTGTGGCTGCAGATTATATGACTCAATCTTATGGTTCAGTACAAACTTTTAATGGTTAAAATTATTTATCAATTGTAGCTGAAGGAGATGCCAATCTCCTATGCCATGACGTGCTGTGCCTGACAGGGATCATGATTGTTTTACTTTTGCTTTTACCTAACTCTTGCTAATTGTTAATTTCTTAGTTATCGCACTTCAGTGTTTATCACGCAATATTCTTTGTTTTGCCCCTACCTCTTTTCCGTCCCAAGAGATTATCAAGAATGAGAACAGAGGACTTCAGTATTCCTTTAGCATGCTTCCGTATTTGTGCATCTCTCGTGTAGTTAGTTTAGGAGACTGGTCACCATGATCGAAATCGATCGGGGCACATTCACTATTAATGGATTTTGCCATTACTAGAGACGGTTATTGCCGCATCAGAACTTTGATGGGAAGGGTGGTGGAAATGGTTGCCTTCGATAAGGATATTAGGTGCGGTGAGAAGTGACCCTTCAGTGTATTGGTTGTATTAATTGATTGAGAGGCTTTACAATCCCTTTGTTATTGTTAAGTAAGAGGTTATGAAGTCAGAATATTCGGAATTGTTCATTAATACTAATTGGTGTTTTGTAGTTTGATATTGTATTTGGTGCTTGACAATAGGTTTACCTCTTATTAGAATGAGACTCTGTAATAAAATGACTTATAAATATTTTACCTTCTCATCACCATCTTAAGAAGAAACAACAGTTTCATTTTCCACATACATGTGGATCCAATTTGAAATCACGGGAAGTGCAATTTTCTAAAGACCAGATCAGGACAATGGAACACTTAACTTTTATATTTAGAGCGAAATAACATTGTACCTATTGTTCTAAAGTAATTTATAAGAAATTGCTTGTAAAAAGCAAGATCTACTATTTTCTTGATTTTATTTCTGTGACATGAATAGATATGTTTCTATAAGACATTTCGTTTACATAATAGTGGTGTTTGAACAAGCAATTTGGAAAAGGTTTTGCGTCATTTTACGTAACGTAAAGTCGAGATCAACCGTTTATGTTTGTCATTGAAGGCTAGAGGACCCACATGAAAACTTTGTTTAATATGTATTCCGATTTTAAATCGACAGATAAAAAACGAAATGTTTTTTTTTTATATCCCGTCGGATATTAAATAATTATTATTCCACATATGCATTCACATTGTTACTCAAATATAATTTTTATGTAAAAATAATACCTTTTATTTTACTTCGCCGCTCATAACAAACACGGGCACACGGGCGCATCTGCAAATTGCTAACAAATCATTTCCTAAGGAGATTTGTATGTACGAGTGAGCAAATTAAACATAACAATATAATCGGAATAGGAAAGTGAACATTACACGCAACACTAGCCAACCGCAAGTAACGGGAGTCAAATTACGAGAAGAGAATCATGGACTTACTATAATAGAGATGGCGAACCTTCACGGATGCTAATAATAATTATAGATTTTTTGTAACGAAATCTTACCTTAGGTACCTTATATCTTATACTGTTATACGCTGTGAAATCTATATATTTCGTTTTCGTTCCGAAGTAAAATGGTTCTGTCTTGGTAATACAATAGTTTTACAAAAAAATATTTAATTCAAAAAATAACTGGTGCAAAAAGCAAACTTTGAAAGCGCATACGAACTCATAGTAAATTATCAAAACATCACGCCATGTAATTTTCGAAGAGGTATTTCTCGTCGGGTGGCACGTGCGATGCGAATAGTACCTACTAGTGTTTTATGTGCGTATTTCCATGAAAAATATTTTAAACTAAAAAAAATACATCTTTATTTACTTTATCCATTGAAAGTACTTATTATTGAAATACATTGAAAGTATTTATAATAATTATGTTTTATAGTTGTCTATATTTATGTAATAGTTAATAGTTACGATGTCATTTACGAGGAGTGTGGATTGAATTTTTATGAGTTATCGACATAAACTGCGCTTTTAAACGGTTAACAGGACCTAAATATTGGAATATAGAATGGTATTATTAATTTTACTGTCTGTCTGATTGTCAGTTATGTCGTGAGTAATTGAGTACACAGTATGACCACTTTTATAGTCTAGCCGTAGTTTGAAGTCTATAACGGATCGGAATTTTCAATATTTCTTTTAGAATTTTGTAACTATAATTTATTATGGTCTATAAGCCAAGGATGGATGGTCAATATTTTGTTTTTCATCATGTGGGGTATAACATTATCAACAATATCATTAATGCGAACGTAATAATCAGCGGTTACGGCGCCGAAGACGCGCGTTGAATGCGGGTATTAAAATACTCCGTGTCCTATGGGCTTTACTCAAAAGAAATAATAAAAATACTCTCTAGATCTTTCCTAAAAATCTATCACAATGGGGTAGACGACTAATTTTTATTTTAATGTCCGTCTGGTAGATTATTTAAAAACATTAGACACGTATTTTTTATTATCTTACGGAAACGAATAGTTTCGAAGATATATTGATTTGAAATGTCGCGTGACGTCACTTCTCAGTACATTTTATACTAAGAAATGACGTTTTAGCCCCCACTCCTAAACTTTGATTCGTTTTATCTAAGTATTGTTTTATTATACAACAAAATAAAAAAATACGTGTCTAATATTTTTTTATTACCTAAGTTACGGACTAATTATATTTTTAATTTTCATACCCTGTCATCATCCCCATTGTGTCTACAAAACCGGTACTCGACGAGTTAAT